AGTCTAGCTCATGGTTTCTCAACCAGGGTTCCTCCAGGGGTTGCTAGGTCTTCCTTGAACAATGAGAAATTTCTGCATCTCAGATAAGCTCCCACTGACACCATTTATCTTTTTAGTTAACTGTAAGGGGGTAATTCTTTCCGATGACCACAAGTGTAAGGATCATTCTTCCCACTGACCATCACACTAATGTCCTTGAGTTGTAGATATAGTCATTTTTAGCAGGGATTCCCTGAGATTGAAAAGGCTGGTCTAGCGGAATGTGACTAACTACTACTTGACATACTATGATGTGAATAAATGGGAACCTTCACAGTCATGCTTGCCAAGAAATTTCCCACTGTTTTAATGATGATCTGTGTGGCAGGCTCAAGCCAATTGTTAGTTTTCTGTCCATATTCTGTGTACAGAACGGCATATTTAAAGTGGTTCTAAAGGCTGAAGGTTTTTTCTTCCTAAGCCCCATTCTAAGCCTAATGTATCTAACCCTGTAAAGGAAAGATTGCTATACTGAGTCCGGTCCCAGGCTGTAGATGTCAGCGGTGGCTTCTGTGTAGAGCGCCATAGTACGTCTAGGGGTCACATCATCTCCTCTTCATTTCCTCAGCTGTTGGCCTCCTCCCTCTACAAAGAAGCCGCCACAGCAGACTGAACTGGAGTAGCTTCAGAATAGGTCAGTTTATGCATATTTTCTTCACAGGTTAGACAGATTAGGCTTCGAATGGGTCTGGGAGTAGGTTTAGAGTTAATTAGGATTTGGGTGGAATTCCACTTTAATGCATTCTCTGCATTAAGGTGAAAAACCTTCTGTGTGCAGCTCCCCTTATACTTACCTTAGTCCGATCTTGATCCAGCGCTGTGTATGAGAGCAGTGACTCTCTCCGTTCTCTCCATTCTCATAGGCTCAGATACAGCAGCGGGAACCATTTGCTCCTGCTGCTGTTAATCACAGCCAGTGAACAGAGAATGGGAGGGAGTTGTCAGGGCTGAGCTGCCCTCTGTGTGTCAAAGGACACAAAGAGCATGGCTCGGGATTAAATTGAGCCTGCACAAGTGCCCCCCCGTAGCAAGTGGCTTGCTATGGGGGCACTCGGCATGGGGGAATAGCCAGGAGCACTGTCAGGGGACTCCCAAAAGAGGAGGATCAGGGCTGCTCTGTGCAAAACCATTGCATAAAAATAAGTATAAAATGTTTATTAAAAAAAAAAAATCGAACCTTTACAATCACTTTGATGAGAGGCTCATATTTTCAAAAATTATCCTTTGCCTTGAAGTTTATGTATGTAGAAAGGTAGGTTTATGTGTTTCTGTGAGATGCAGCTGTGTATACTGCAAGTACATAGTTACATAGTCTGGCTGAAAAAAGATAAAAAGTTCATCCAATTCAACCATTAAAAAAAAAAAGTTATAGTCCTACACCCACAGTTGATCCAGAGGAAGGCAAAAAAAAGCCCAGCAAAGCATGATCCAATTTGCTCCTGCAGGGTAAAAAACTCCTTTCCGATCCCCGAGAGGCAATCGGATATTCCCTGGATCAGCTTTACCTATAAATGTTAGTATATCCAGTTATATTCTGTTTATCAAAGAAAGAATCCAGACATTTTTTAAAGCAATCCACTGAGCTGGTCAGAACCAACTCTTGAGGGAGTCTATGCCACATTTTCACAGCTCTTAATGTGAACACCTTTCCGTGTTTGGAGATTGAATTTCTGTTCCTCCAGATGTAAAGAGTGCCCCCTTGTCCTCTGTGATGACCTCAGGGTGAATGAACCTCACTATATGAACCACTGATGTATTTATACATGGAGATCATATCCCCCCTTAATCTGCTCTTCTCAAGAGAGAATAAATTCAGTTCCTCTAATCTTTCCTCATTGCTGAGCTCCTCCATGCCTCTTATCAGTTTGGTTGCCCTTCTCTGTACTTTCTCCAGTAAGACTGGAGTAAGCTCAACCACTTAGTATTCAAAGCCACAAAGTTCTTCACCAGTTTGCCGAGTTGTATCACATACACTATACTGCCAAAAGTATTGGTCGGGCCGGCCCTTTACACGCACATGAACTTTAATGGCATCCCAGTCTTAGTCCGTAGGGTTCAATTTTGAGTTGGCCCCGCCCTTTGCAGCTATAACAGCTTCAACTCTTCTGGGAAGGTTATCCACAAGGTTTAGGAGGGTGTCTATGGGAAGGTTTCACCATTCTTCCAGAAGCGCATTTGTGAGATCAGGCACTGATGTCGGACGAAAAGGCCTGGCTTGCAGTCACCGCTCTAATTCATCCCAAAGGGGTTCTATGGGGTTGAGGTCAGGACTCTGTGCAGGACAGTCAAGTTCCTCCACCCCAAACTGGCTCATCCATGTCTTTATGGACCTTGCTTTGTGCATTGGTGTGCAGTCATGTTGGAACAGGAAGGGGCCATCCCCAAACTCTTCCCACAAAGTTGGGAGCATTAAATTGTCCAAAATGTCTTAGTATGCTGACGCCTTAAGAGTTCCCTTCACTGGAACTAAGGGGCCAAGCCCAACCCCTGAAAAACAACATCACCAAACTTTCCACTTGGCACAATGCAGTCAGGCAAGTACCGTTCTCCTGGCAACCGCCAAACCCAGACATATCCATGAGATTGCCAGACAAAGAAGCGTGATTCATCACTCCAGAGAACACGTTTCCATTGCCCTAGTGTCCAGTGGCGGCATGCTTTACACCACTGCATCCGACGCTTTGCATTGCACTTGGTAATGTAAGGCTTGGATGCAGCTGCTCAGCCATGGAAACCCATTCCATGAAGCTCTCTACGCACGGTTGTTGTGCTAATCTGAAGGCCACATCAAGTTTGGAGGTCTTTAGCTATTGACTTTGCAGACAGTTGGTGACTTCTGCGCACTGTGCACTTCAGCATGCGCTGACCCCGCTCTGTCATGTGATGTGGCCTACCACTTGGTGGCTGAGTTGCTGTTGTTCCCAGTTGCTTCCACTTTGTTATAATCCCACTAACAGTTGAGCGTGGAATATTTAGTAGCCAGGAAATGTCACGGATGGACTTATTGCACAGGTGACCACCTATCACGGGACCACGCTTGGAGTCACTGAGCTCCTGAGAGCGACCCATTCTTTCACCAATGTTTGTAGAAGCAGTCTGCATGCCTAGGGGCTTGATTGTATACACCTGTGTCCACGGAGGGGATTGGAACACCTGAATACTTTTGGCAATATAGTGTATCAGCATTGAATCGAGGTACCCCTCTTTCTCAAGTTTTGAGGTTAGGAGGTATGTATTGGAATTTGCATTCTTACAGCATATGAAAACTAACACTCCCCATCAGTAAGGATCAGAAGTCCCCACATACAGAGAGGTACATGGAGATTTAGGCCATAGTGATGGTAGTGGGCTGACTGTTCCTGCATGGGGCCCACAGGTGGTCAGCTGTATTACTATACTGCCCTTTTCTCTCTCTTTAATACCCACAAGTTCTTCAAAACTAAAAAAAAAAATGGTTCCATATAACTGCCAAAAAGTTAATACTTAACAAAATAAATTGTCATGTGGCCAAGATGGACAGTGGCTCCTCCACTGAAGACTTTGCGGTACTTATTGACACGCTGCCATCATTTCTAGAACTCAACAGATGGAAAACAGTACGTGCGCCATAATTAATTTTATCACCAGTTAACTAGCCCTGCCCGCCTGCAGATCAGCTGACGAGCCATTGACGGCGCCTGGAAAAGCGTCGAGAGCTTGACTCAGCCGAGCTAATTGAGAGTCAGGAGCGGGCGGGCACGTCACACAGTGGGTTTTTGCAATATAATTGGAAAACAAATTAAAGAAATTGTGGGAGGTGTCGCTGCAGGGAATCGTGTATTCCGCAGATTTTTAATAACTGTTCCAGCGCTATTTCATTATAAATAATGGATCTCCCCCCTACGCTTTGCTTGTCATTGAATAAATATGCCATTTGCCTTTGAATAATACACGGAAGCTAATTATGAATTTTGATTCGTAAATCAGCCGTACAGGAGGCTAGGCATGGCAAGATTTAGGCTTATTCTCTAGAGCATTAAATATTTATAGAAAAAAAAAAAAAACAGATCACAACTTTCGCAGCGTGTCAATTCGCCCCCGCTGCAGCTTTTTAAAGCCCAAATTTACGGCACAACGTCCACTTTTTGTCAAAGCAATGCCTAATTTTGTAGATTCATGTCACACACTTGCAGTGTTCATTGTGCTAACAGATGCGATTACACACAGTCATTATTTAGGGAGGCTTTGAACAAAAAAAAAAAGAAGAGAATGAAGATGAATTTTGTTTGTTCTTCACTTTCCTGGTTACATTTCAGTAAGGTTTTGTTCAGGCCTGAGGCCAGGCAGGGAGGCGTAAAACCAGGTGGTTGAGATGTGGTTTTACCGCCCCTTGACCACCTGCATAAAAACTAACATACAGCTCAGGGGCGGACTGACCATTTGGAAACTCAGGCACTGCCCGAGGGCCCGGGGTCAGTAGGGGACCCCATGAGATGCCCCTGGTACCTTTTTCATAGGCCTTTTTGAGTTTGGGCAAGGACACAGGGGCCCATGATCCCCTATTGCTCGGGGGCCCCATGAGTTGTCAGTCCGCCCCTGATACAGCTGTACACATGTCACAGCCACGATGCTGTGCTTCATGGCCACGGCAAAACTTAGGGCTCGTTTACACTAGCAGTGCTCTCTTAACCACTAGCCTACTGGGCACTTATACCCCCTTCCTGCCCAGGCCAGTTTTCAGCTTTCAATGACATTTGCGCAGTCATGCAACATTGTACCCATATGAAATTTTTATCATTTTTTTTAGACATATAGAGCTTTTTTTTGGTGGTATTTAATCACCTCCGTTTAAAAAAAAAAAAAAAAAAAAACATTTTTTCTTAGTTTTTGTTATAACATTTTGTAAGTAAGTGATTTTTCTCCTTCACTGATGTGCGGTAATGAGGCTGTACTGATGGGCACTGATAGGTGGCCCTGATGGGCACTGATGAGGAGGCACTAGTAGGTGGCATTGATGGGCATTGACAGGCATCACTGATAGGCACTGAAAGGCAGCACTCATATATGGCACTGATAGGCGGCACTGACTGGCACTGTTAGGTGGCACTGACTGTCATTGATAGGTGGCACTGACTGGCACTGATAGGAGGCACTGATTGGCATTGATAGGTGGCACTGACTGGCACTGATAGGTGACACTGAAGGCAGCTCAGATGGGCACTGATATGTGGCATTGATGAGGCACTGATGGGCACTGGCAGGTGGCATTGATGGGCAATGACAGGTGGCACTGCTGGGCTACACTGTTCATCAGGGCACACTGATCATCAGTGCCCTGATGATCTGTGTACATGTCCTCTCCGAGGAATGCCGATTACCGGCTCTCCTCTCCTTTCGAGCTGTCAGCGTGACAGCTCGAGAGGAGAGAAATGCGATAACCCTATTTACATGTGATCAGCTGATCACATGACCGAGCCGACATCTTCTTCGGCTCTTTCCGTTGATCGGTGATCCGCTGTGTTCGAGGGACACAACGCACCATGGATCGCCGCCTGTGCACTCCTGGAGCCGCGCATGCGCAGTTAGAGTGGGAGGATGTCATATGACATCCTCCCAGAACGAGAGAACCGACTTGCGCCTGTCATTACCTTATATGGTGGGCAGGAGGCGGTTAAAAGTGACCTGAGTTTGGAATGCTTTTCAGATAGCATTTGACAGGCGGTGAGCAGGTGTTGTATTGGCTCCTCACTGTCTGCTTTCTTCCCTTGAAGCCTGCACTAGCATACTGTCATCGCATGCATTGCATGCTGTTGCAGAGAGCTTGCAGACCAGCCCCCTCACCTGAATCAGTTGCTTTTGATGGGTGCTATGCCCATCGAAAGCAATAACTGGTATAATTCCTGCTGCAGCTGCAAAACAAAGAATTGCACCTGTGGCATATGTACACCCCCCTGCCCCCAGTTGAGGGGCACACCCCTGCCCGAGGGCCCGGGGTCAGTAGCGGGACCCATGAAATGCCCCTGGTACCTTTTTCATAGGCTTTTTTGAGTGTGTGTGGCAAGGACACAGGGGCCCCATGATCCCCTATTGCCCGGGGGCCCCATGAGTTGTCAGTCTGCCCCTGGTGTCAGCAGACGTTTGAGGAGAGTAGGCTGAATTTCCAGCAAGCTAGATGACTGACTACACTGTGCTGTCATGCCTAGTGTGGTCAGTTTTTAATAGATCAGAGGGACTGGCAGGATCACCAGGGATTTCACACAAAAGAAGCAATACAAGGAGAACAGGATATTTATTCATACAAGTACATGGTACAGCAGGCACATATCAGGAATATAAAATGTTGGGTTTACATATTCTTTGAAGTGGTTGTAAACCTCAGACATGAAATATGAACAATGTGCATCCCTCTATAGTGTGTACTTGTCTCAAGAGCGCTAAGTGCCATTTCTGTCTGCTGCAGAGTTCCTTTGTTACCAGCACTTCTGAAAAATTTTCCTGACACCAAGAAAAAACTGGTGACAGGGGAGGGACCTCCAGCAGATTGACAGACTCAGCTCTGTTCCTGTGTGGAGGGCAGGGCTGCTGTTAGAAGTCATTAGGCCCGGGCCCCATACAGCCAACCCGACAGGGCCTCCCCCCTAGGTTTCTATGCTTCAGTTATGAACAAACACAGTGAGCAATCGATGCTGAACACTCATTGTGTTCATTCAGGAAAAACAGGGTCTGGTAAATGTGACATATTTACTGGACCCACTTCCCAGCGTCCATCCTGAAGGATCCTATTGTGTGCTTGCAGCTGCTGGTGTGAAGGAGAGGAGGGTGGGGGGGGCACACAGGGGGGGTCTGGGCAGCAGGGGGAAATGTATGGTGCACAGTGAGGGTGATGCATGCGGCAGGGGAAGGGGTTATTTACTGGAACCAATCTCCACTCTCTGCTGTAGCTGAAGGGGAGAGGGAGGGAGAAGAAGCCAGCTTTCGGCTGCTGCAGAGAGAGCCATACAGGGGATCAGTTCCAGTAATTGCCCCCCCCCCCCCACTGCTGTGCTGATCACCCTCCCTGCCCACATCAGATTCACCCAGCTGCCTGGGCCCCGATGGGTACCACCTCATCCACGGCCTTGGTGGAGGGGGGGGATCTCAAGCAAACTGTCTGCACTTTGAACAGCTCCGGGTAAGAGAAGGCTAAAGCTAAACAGGTACAACTTCTGTAGGAGGATTTGTTTCATCTCTGTGTATCACCTGAGTCCAGTCACTTCGCTGGGTATATGGAAGGATTTACAACCGCTTTAAATGACAAAAAGCTTAGGCAGCCTAGGCAACGTGACTCTGTTGGGTTTCAGGGATGGCTTTTTAAGCATTTCTGAAAAATACTACTGCATTTGGCCACATCAGCAACTTATTCATGTCTAAAATACCGAAAGGTCCACTTTAATCTAACTGGACTTTTATATTAGGTTTTATTTTATAGTAGGTAGTAGAACTCCTGCCCTTTCCAGCGGATATGTGGACTCCTAACGCCCAAGGCACAGTCCCTTTATACACGCACAGTCCCTTTACACACGCACAGTCCTGCGGCTCTCCAAGCACTGGAGTGGAAGTCATTGTATATTTGCCGAGCCATGCTAAGTTATTTTGGCTTCCTAATTAAGAGTGTGACATTTTCTGTTCTTAATTTATATTCAGGAACAAACTGGCAAACAGGATGGAAAAAAAAAAGCCCATGGTCTGCTTTCTCACATTTCCCATTCCCCCTTGGACCCGTCCATGGGAATATCATTAATTAGCATCATTAGTTTTCAGACACTGTCGGCAGATTCTTGCGGCTTCCACTTAACACCTTTCACTTATTCTCCATTGTCACATCTCATATTTGCATATAGACAAGCTCACCGGCCTCCTTGACTTTGACAAGGGCAGATTGTTGCCTGGGTGCGTGCCGAGAACGCCCGAGCCACGTGGCGGGACTCTTGTCACAGCTTGTTTGGCCTTTGTAGTAACTGACCGGCGGGCGCCATACCGAGCCAACAACACAATACATTCACGGGACGCTGCGACCGACAGGACATACATATTACCAACTGAGCGTAAGGTCTGAAATATCAGATTATTTGTCTCCTACTAAAGTCACATACGTTGTTTAAAGCAGGGGCGGACTGACAACTCATGGGGCCCCCGGGCAATAGGGGATCATGAGGCCCCTGTGTCCTTGCCCAAACTCAAAAAAGCCTATGAAAAAGGTACCAGGGGCATCTCATGGGGCCCCCTACTGACCCCGGACCCAACATTTTATATTCCTGATATGTGCCTGCTGGACCATGTACTTGTATGAATAAATATACTGTTCTCCTTGTATTGCTTCTTTTGTGTGAAATCCCTGGTGATCCTGCCAGTCCCTCTGATCTATTAAAAACTGACCACACTAGGCATGACAGCACAGTGTGGTCAGTCATCTAGCTGTGCTGGGAATTCAGCCTGCTCTCCTCAAACTTCTGCTGACACAAGGGGCGGACTGACAACTCATGGGGCCCCGGGGCAATAGGGGCTCATGGGGCCCCTGTGTCCTTGCCCAAACTCAAAAAAGCCTATGAAAAAGGTACCAGGGGCATCTCATGGGGCCCCCTACTGACCCCGTGCCCTCGGGCAGTACCCAAGTTCCAAATGGTCAGTCCGCCCCTGGATTAAAGTTACGCTCACCCACAAGTGATATTTCAGTGACTCACACATGTTGTTTTCTCTTTCATATCTTATTCATTTCTAAAGATGAACTTCGGCCAAACAAATTAGCATTCATTACTGCTGAAAGACATATAGAGGAATGGTCAAACCTGCAAAATTAGTCTGCTTTTGCCCATCCAGTTCTTAGATTTATACAGCTCTGCCACACAGCATAGCCCTGTCTGGCAGAAGGATCAGGCTGATTCTGCTCTGCTGAAGTTATGTATCATTTCAGGTCTTGTCCCTCTCCCAGCATTTGATTTGACAGTAAAAGGAGAAGCAGCGGACTGATGAGCTCATCTCTCTGTCACTCTACCAGGGGTGGACTGACCATTTGGAAACTCGATCACCTCTGGATCACCTCTCGGCATTGCTGACTCAATTGTGGAAAGGTAAGACCATATCTGAACTGCTGGAACCATTTGTCTTCAAACATCTCAAACCTCCAGTTAGCGCCTCAGAACGTTTCGGGTTGATCCGTAAACAGGGCGGACTGGCCATTTGGAAACTCGAGCACTGCCCTAGGGCCCAGGGTCAGAAGGGGGCCCCATGAGATGCCCCTGGTACCTTTTTCATAGGCTTTTTTGAGTTTGGGCAAGGACACAGGGGCCCCATGATCCCCTATTGCCCGGGGGCCCCATGAGTTGTCAGTCCGCCCCTGCACTCTACTCTCTTCTTCTTGTTTCTTTCCATCTAGTTCTGAGTTTTAGGACTCATGTACACTGCAGCTGATAAACTGACGTCAGGAGCTGTTCAGCGTTTTTTCAGCAGCCCCTGAACTCTCCCTAATGTTCTCCTATGTGTCCATGTACACATCCTCGTTTACAGTCGTTTTTTTAATGCACCAAAATTGCGTTCAGGAGTAGATTTTACTGGCGTTTCAAACGCCAAATGCTTGTAAACGCGTGTAAACGCGGTTAACTGTGTTTACAAGCTTGTTTTGACAGGTCCATATCCAGATGCTGTCCGGAGCCTTTTTTCTTCATCAAAAATGCATGCAAAGCGTTTTCCATGTATTCAAATGGACCCGGTACACCACCGCAGTCAGTTCCAGGTTTTGTGTGAAGGAAACAATGGTAGAACGTGCCGCATTATGCTCATGATGGGATCCATAGTGACTACAATCAGAAAAGACAGGTCACTTCCACACATACTGCTCTCTCTGCTTCTGGTCTCTCTATTCCTCTTAAAATGTCTGAAATAGTTAATTATTTACTATTTTTCAGTGCATTCTGGAAGGTCTCCTGAGGTTATCTTTTAAAAATACTTCTAAACGCAAACACGGCTAAACTGATGTTTTTTTAACATACGTTTTCCAGCAGTCAGAAGAGTTTTCCAAACGCCCCGAGTACATGAACCCTTACACAGTACAGCAAGGTTGATGGCCTGCCTCTTCTGTACTGCAGTTGCAAACTCTCACATATACCCAGTGAAGTGACTTAGCTCAGGTGATACACAGAGATGAAACAAATCCTCCCACATAAGTTGTACCTCTCTATCTGCACCATTCTCTACATATGTTCAAAGTGCAGAATTTATACAGCTTGTCTGAGCTTTCAGAGAGCAGGGGTCAGAGAGCTGAATTTTTACACTGCAGAGCTCAGTGAGAGCTGATTATAGGGAAGGACACCCCCCTCCCCCCTTCAAAACACACAGGAAGAGAGCTGAGGCTGTCAATGTCAGGCTGTGTGCTGGAGCTCCCTCCCCTGTCACCATTTTATTTCTTGGTGTCGTGAAAACCAGGCAAAAGTGATTCATGCTGATAGCAGAGGTACAAAGCAGCATATGCTGCTCTTAAATGAGACAAGTACACACTATAGAGGGATATGCTATGTTCATACTTCATGTCTGAGGTTTACAACCACTTTAAACAATAGACTAGTCAGTGCCTGTTTAGTGCTAGTTAGTTCAGTCCTAGCTAGACCTCCTCCCTCTTATTTACATGTTCTTTCAGTCAATGTCAGGGCTTAAGAAAGTCCATGTCTTTTTACACTTCTGGCTGGAAAATATCCTCTGCACTGCAATTATCTGAAGTAAAATTGTGTTGGATTGAACTTCTGAGTCTTATTGAAGAGTGTTAAGCTGCCTGTGGATGGTGCTAAGTCAGCAAGTGACCATGCTTTCTGGGCAGCTGGGTCTAAGTCTAATGTCAATGCAGAAAGTGCCATTTGAAACAGAACAGCAGAGATCTCACAGCCAATGTCCTAGAAAGCCCTAAAAAATATTGGTATCTCCCCAGCACCTGCCAACAACTGAAACATCAGTTTTAGGTGGAACAACCTTTTACAAAATATATAAAGTTGTGTATGAATGCAGGCTGTGCCATTAAATAGGAGATTATCATTTTGTATAGTTTTGTCTCTAAGAGTGCAAAAAGTTTCAAGAAAAACAAATCTCTGCTCAGTTCTATGAAGCAGCTCGGCGTCACCTGGGACTGGTATGGAGTCAGATGTCAGGTAGAGGAGAAGAAAGTGAGAATAGCATCAATAGTGCAACGGTTACCATGTGAACAGAGCGGTGTCTTGTCTTCTCCGACATGCGGTTATATGAGGAAACAATACAGAGAGACAGATGCCGGTGTACATCGTCCGCCATCATTATCTCCTCCACTGAGGTCACCTTGAAGAGTCATCAGCCCCAGAATCGGGGTATCAAAAATCTAAATATATATCCTCGTGTCCAGTAGGGAAATCCTATTAGAGGCGGGCGGAGGAAAGAAGATTTTTATATCCCGAGGCAAATTAATCTTAATGACCCAGAAAACTGTAGACCCGTATGGGAGAAATGCAAGAATTTAAATCTGAAGTCCAGGCTGACATAAAAGACACAAAATAAGGCAGATCTGTATTCATCAATACATCAGTAAAGGTATATATAATACTAGCAGTGTGACTATATGGATCTGTTCTGGTATCAGCTTCTTACAAACCCTATACAGCAGAGCTCAGACTGGGAGACAGAGAAGGAGCACAAGGAGCCAATCAGGAGTGCTGATAGGAGGAGAGAAAGTAACAGATGAGCTCATCAGTCTGCTACTTCTCCTTTCACTGTCCAGTCACAAGCTGGGGAAGGGACAAGTCCTGTAGTAATAATTATAATAAAGACTAATTAAAAAATATAATAAAAAATAATAGTGATAATAAGAAATATTAATTTCCTCCCAATCCTGACTGCCCCTGGCCCGCCTTTTTATTTATGGGATTTCAGTTCTTTCAGTCACGGGAAGTTCGGCGTTACATGTTGGGATTAACTAGGGTGGTCCACATGTAAATACAGCCTTCCTGGGAATGCCCATTCCTCCACACTGACTCCACCCCTCAGGGCATCAGGGCATAACTCCTTCCAACAGCCAGCTCACTGCTTGCATCAGGACTGAGGGCTCTTAAAATGTCACTAAACTTCGGACCCTGCATTCACTATATCTGCTCTCCCTGGACCCTGCATTCACTATATCTGCTCTCCCAGGACCCTGCATTCACTATATCTGGTCTCCTAGGACCCTGCATTCACTATATCTGGTCTCCCCGGACCGTGCATTCACTATATCTGCTCTCCCAGGACCCTGCATTCACTATATCTGCTCTCCCTGGACCCTGCATTCACTATATCCGGTCTTCCCGGACCCTGCATTCACTATATCTGGTCTCCCCGGACCCTGCATTCACTATATCTGCTCTCCCAGGACCCTGCATTCACTATATCTGCTCTCCCAGGACCCTGCATTCACTATATCTGGTCCCCAGGACCCTGCATTCACTATATCTGGTCTCCCCGGACCGTGCATTCACTATATCTGCTCTCCCAGGACCCTGCATTCACTATATCTGCTCTCCCTGGACCCTGCATTCACTATATCCGGTCTTCCCGGAACCTGCATTCACTATATCTGGTCTCCCCGGACCCTGCATTCACTATATCTGCTCTCCCAGGACCCTGCATTCACTATATCTGCTCTCCCTGGACCCTGCATTCACTATATCCGGTCTTCCCGGACCCTGCATTCACTATATCTGCTCTCCCCCCTGGACCCTGCATTCACTATATCTGTCTCCTTGGACCCTGCATTCACTATATCTGTCTCCTTGGACCCTGCATTCACTATATCTGTCTCCTCGGACCCTGCATTCACTATATCTGTTCTCCCTGGACCCTGAATTCACTGTATCTGGTCTCCCCGGACCCCGCATTCCCTATATCCGCTCTCCCCCGGACCCCCTATATCTGCTCTCCCTGGACCCTGCATTCACTATATCTGGTCTCTCTGGACCCTGCATTCACTATATTTGGTCTCCCCGGACGCTGAATTCACTATATCTGGTCTCCCCAGAGCTTGCATTCACTATATCTGGTCTCCCCGGACCCTGCATTCACTATATCTGGTCTCTCTGGACCCTGCATTCACTATATCTGGTCTCTCTGGACCCTGCATTCACTATATTCGGTCTCCCCGGACCCTGCATTCACTATATCCGGTCTCCCCAGGCCCCGCATTCACTATATCCGGTCTCCCCAGACCCTGCATTCACTATATTCGGTCTCCCCGGACCCTGCATTCACTATATCCGGTCTCCCCGGACCCTGCATTCACTATATCCAGTCTCCCGGACCCTGTATTCACTATATCTGGTCTCCCCGGACCCTGTATTCACTATATCTGGTCTCTCCGGACCCTGCATTCACTATATCCCTTTTCTCATCAGCAGTATATAGCAGTCTTGTGACTTCTATCAGTGTCCAGCAGAACACATGTTAAAAAAATTGTAGGAGGCGTTTTCCTTCTGCTCTAGGAGGATGCAGGACTCCTGACCTCTGTCTGGACAGTGCTGATTGGCCCTGTGCTGGTCACACACACTCTCCCAAGGAAAAAGAAAAACATTCTAGCAATACACACCAAACTGAACATGTGCAGAGTGTCTCCACCCCATAAGTCTTATCAGGAGATAAGAGGGGGGCACTGGAAGAAGTGGAGGATCAGAGAAGTCAGGATCAAACTGAATTTTGAAACAATGCGGAGGGATTAACCCCTTAGGTTCCACAGTGAGTATAACAAGCATGCTTTCCTGCACACACAGACTGAATTTACTGTTGTGGGTTTAGTAACACTTTGAGAGGAGTACAGAGGCTGTGATGTTTCCCGGAAGCTATGTACATCCCCCTCCCACCGGCTCTGATCTGCCTGCATTGCATAGATCAGTGGTTCTCAACCTTTTTTCAGTCAAGGCGCCCTTTAAAATTACGGACAGTCCTGAGGCACCCCATTCTAAAATGTCAAAAAATATTCTAATGGTTTTATATAACGCAGCAACATCCACACTTGTAGGATATTAGAGGGGATTTATTCTTCCAAAGCAAATACACAAAAGTGACAAAACTGTGGCGAAAATAAATAAATAAATAAGTGGCCGTGCAATTGTGCACTGGATAGGCCCTGAGGCCGTAGCAAAAAAACTGCGCAGTACAGGAAAAGTGTTTAGAACAGTGACCATGTGCACTTTTCACACGTGGGATCCCACCCCCATGTGTTACTAAGAGCACCCCTGAGGAGACCACTCAGGGGGCACTGCTCTATGGAATCTCTGCATCCACAGCCCCTGGCCAGACAAGGTAGATCCATTCAAATCAGAAGGAACTGGGCTCCTCCGGTTTTCCGAGGGGAATTACTCCCGGGCCCCAACAGCCTGTGGGTGCCTCAGTTTCTTCTTCCAGCTGAGTACTAACCTTCAGGGCCCCCATCATACCAGCAGGGGTGCTATACAGCCAACCATCCTCACCAAAAGGCAAGAATGACAGTGGAGCTCCCCTATTGGACACTGATAAGAACAGATACTACACTTGATCTTAGCCAAAAGGCCGTGAAACTATATCATTGGTTGTCAGGACGCCGGCCAGGGGTGTATTTACAACAAGGCAAACAAGGCAGTTGCCTAGGGCGGAACCTTTCAGGGGGGCAGCAGCATTTTTGAGGGGGGCAGTGCCATCCCCTGAAAGAAGGGATGGAAGAAGGGACACACACAACACGGGGACCAGGTTGGATCTGAGAGAGGCTGTGGGCTGCTTGATGGTGTATGCAGAGCCTGACTCTTGTTCCCGGGGAGCTGTGAAGGTGGGTGTCTTATCTCTTGCCAGGGTGGGGAAGGGGGGTTGCCAGTGTATGGGGGGAGGTGGTAGTGGAAGGCTCTCTCAGGTGGGAGTGGGTGGTGGACTGGGGTGTTGTTGGTCAAAGTCAGGCTTTCTTCATGAGAAAGGGGGGTGTTGGTTGGTGTCAGGGTCTCTCCATGGGGGGGGGTGACGAGCCAATTTTTGTGTTGCCTAGGGCAGCACAAAACCTAAATACACCACTGACGCCGGCGGCTAGGTAGATGTAATGGTGCAGAATGAAAGCCTCTGGCTTTGTGTAACTAAAAGGCAGGCTTGATCCACTTCTGGCTTGTATACACGTTTTGGGCAATTTTAAGACTTTTTGTCAAGGCACTCCTGAATAAACCTCAAGGCACCCTTGGTTGAAAAAGACTGGCATAGACATAGTGAAACACAGAGACCCAGTGATGATATCACAGAGATTTAAATAAGTTATGAAAACAGAAAGGTTTTATTGAAAATGTAATTAGCATGTTGATGGGGGGGGGGGGGATGGGAGGGAGGAACCAGGGAAGGCAAAATATAAGCAGATTAATCTTCAGCTTTAATGATACAAACAAGAAACACATTACCATAAACTCTCATCTGTACTGAGCGTGTGCATGAGCTGTAATACTGATGACGGCTTGTGCCAACATCAATCACCAAAATCTCACGTAACATTTACCTTAATGCCATTCCATAAGTGCTTTTCAATCTATTTAAAGGGTTTGCATAGCTCACAGTTTTCCTTTTTTTTATGGATAGTGTACAAAAGGGGTTAAATTCACTATAATTTTTTTTTTGTTTTGCCATCTGTGTCCCATTGGGGAGATAAGTGAGATCTTTTAACTGACCTGCGGATGAAACAGGAAGTCAGAGGAAATCTCCCTTAAGGCTAGGTTGGCTGGTGGTGCCGCTGCGGATCCGCACGAAAATCTGTGCAGTCGCACCACCTGCACAGAGAAATGCGGACCCACGAGCAGAAGCTATTAGTTCTAATGGCACGCCGCCCGTACTGGAAAACGCACACCATACTGGGGACTGAGGTTCCTGTGCGGGCTGCGTTTTCGGAAGAAATGCAGGGACCTCTTCCCTGCGTGTCACAGGGCACGGGAGTCCATTCAAATGAATGGGCTTTCGTGCCCCTGCAAAACGTGGCCCGCACGACTGCATATATGTGAACCGGGGCTGAATGCCACTCATCACTACAATATTTTTTCCCATTGGAGGATTACTTTAACCCTTTGCTGTCACGCCAGCTCCAAAATGTAGGATATCCACTTACTTTCTGTCTCATTGACAGTGGTCACCAACACATACAGAAGGGTGAATCTTCCCAAGCTGGGCACCCTTTTTATATTTTTATCAAAAAATTTACAAAATAAAATGTAGGCTTTGAGTACACTTTAAATCTGCAGTTTTTATTAAAGTATTTCCAAAAGCAGGTTTTTTTTTACCTTAATGCATTCTCTGCATTAAGGTAAAAAACCTTCTGCATGCAGCTCCTGCCCAGCCACCCCCCTAAATATTCACCTGAGCCTGGTGTTTATCCAGCAAAGTGCATGAGAGCAGTGGTTCTCTCCCTCCTCACTTGCTCAGAGACAGCAGTGGGAGTCATTGGCCCCAGCTGCTGTCAATCACAGCCAGTGAAGAGGGAGCAAGGGGGGCGAGCTGTGCTTTGTGTTTCAATGGACACACAGAGCAAGCTCAGAAGAAAGCATGCACAAGTGCCACCATAGCAAGCAGCTGGGTGCACTCGATGGGGGGTGAGGAGCCAGGAGCACTGGCAGGGGACCCGAGAAGAGGAGGATCAGCCTGCTCTGAGCAAAACCATTACACAAAGCAGGTAAGTATAACATGTTTCTTATATAAAAATAATACATTTAGAATCACTTTAAAGCTGTCTCCAGCAGTACTACTTTTCAAAAAAATTCTATATATATATATATATATATATATACACACACACAGTACAAACACACACAGGAGTGCCTCAAGGAAGAGAGGGAAGCCCAGGTTGGTGATTCTGCCCTGAAGGTCCTTGCTCCGGAACTTCCTGTTGTTTGGTGACAACTTCCTCCCAGGTGTGCTATGGTGTTGTCACTCTCTCACAGGTTTCCATTTGAGACTACAAGCAGCCATGCAGACACACATTCTGCAGGCATGGCCCACTGTTGTCACCATCAGGAAGCCAGCCAAGAGCAATGATGTGCAGTTGCAGGAGTGAGTGCATGTAGTTAGGAGATTCGTAGAAATGAGATGAAGAAATAAAAGGTGAAAGTAGCATTGTACAGAAAAAAAAAACTGTCAGATGAAATCCAGTTTAAGTTTATATGTACTTAAGAGCCCATTCTCACTTGTGTGACCTGTCATGCAACTCTGGGGTCCATGACAAGCCGCACCCTATGTTTCCCAATGAATACTATTCATATCTGTGCGGCTTCAAGTCACAGTGACTTGAAAGTAGTTCCTGCACTAGTTTGGACCGACTTCCATGCGACTTGAAGGCCATAGACTTCAGTGTAAACCCTCCAAAGTCGCACCTGAATGATATACATGCGACTTGCGTGCGACTTTGTACAGCACAAAAAAATCATCTTTGGTCAAAGCCAAAGTCGCATTCATCCAATGTCACATCAAAGTCTCATCAAGTCGCACTTTAACCCCTTCACGCCAGATCGTCCCAGCGTGAATAGGAGTTCCTGCACCGGGAGGTGGGCGGGATGGGGCATAGTGTCATGTGGCCACCGTGATGTCACGTCACGGCCGGTCACATGATCAGGAAAGGTCCTGATCGAAAGAGCGGACTGGGACCTTTCCGTGAGTACCGCACATGTGCTGGGAGCGCGCAGGGCGCGCGCTCTCAGCACATATGTTTTTTGATACATGAACGCAAATGTGTGGCCGCTCGGCGTCTAGGCCCAGACGCCGGGAGGCCGCACATTTGCGTGCGTGCGGCTGGCGTGAAGGGGTTAAAGCTGTAATGAAAATCGCACGATTTTGAAGTTGCACAAGTGTGAATGGGGCCTCAATCTCTTCATGCCTACCTATCAAGGCTTACATATAGAAATGTCAATGCACTACTAATGCACTAAACAGTATTCCCCAGCAAAAGGGATTCAATTCAAAAGGTTTAAATAAAAGCAGAGGTCTCAGATGCAAATATGTGAATCTACATGGAAGCCAAGCTGCTATAGAGAGAAGAGTCCTCTGATCTGTGGAAGATCAGCACTGGGACTAATATAGCAATTAAATAAAACTGACAGTATGCTCACCTGGAGGTTGCTACATTCCCTTTAGGAGATCCAGAATCGCAGGAAACAGCCGTAGACGTCCCAGGTGTCAACCAAGCACAGTAAAACAAAATAGTGGCAGTCAGTCACTTTATAATTAGCGCAGAAGGTTTTAATTAGGTCCCTTTTGCTGCCTGGCAGGGCTGAGCACATGAAATGGGAGCAGAATGTCTCTCTTAGAACAGGCAACTCTTAAAGGGACAGTACTGACCCCAGAGCCGGAACGCATGTAGGGGACTCCTGACAGTCCCGGACTTTTGTTTTTCCATCCTGACATTACTTCGCTGCATCGAGATACCACACTATTTAAACCCAAGAACAAAATTGT